AGCAAAGCAAACTGTGGGCTGTAGAGCCTTAAGTACAGACAGCAGAGCAACACAGAGACAGACAGAGCAGACGTCTCTGTGGCTTCCCTTTATCGGGGCCAGTAACTCCACCTCCTGCTGCTGCTGCAGGGTAACTTTCCACTCGTCCTCCAGCCAAAAACAGCTGGTGCTGGGTCAGGGGCTGGTCAGGGGCTGGTCAGGGCTCTGGATCAGGGTTATCTGCAGCTGGGTGCCCTTTGATGAACTCTTTGCTTTGCCTTATCACAATAGGTCACAACACAGTCAAACGCCACATATTAATCCTAGTTGTTAAATCTCGCAACAAGCAGAATGCATCAACAGGTGCTCTGACAGCAAGCGGCATAATCTTATGATAAACATGTTAATAATAGTTGACCTAATTATACAGGTTATATAGTATTGTAATGATCGTTAAGGTGACTTTACTGTGATGTGTTCAGTATCTGTTACAATGTTACCACCTTAATAACCCACGGTGAGGGCAAAACTACTTGAAAGTTACAGTACATATGTTCACTGCACATAGATATATAGTGCATATAGTTATATAGGTATACTTTCCCAACATTCCCCTGGTCAACCAATTTAAGACAAATGAATTCCTGTTCATGTGCAAAGCAGACGACACAACATCCCTGAAAGAATTCTCAAGAAACTTAAAACGAGCCTAATTATAGGAAAATGAAAATAAGGCATGAAACATACCAGTAGACACAAATTACATCCGTGGATTACAAGACACCATGTGTGAAATTGATATAATTAAACAATTAATTCCCAGTTTTGGATTTCATCTTGGTGCAGCTTCTTTTTCTGAACAAAGGTCTCAGTGTGAGAGTGTGGGCTGTGAAATGTCCTTTGATAGCTTCAGGGTTATTTCTGGAGTTCCACAGGGCTCAGTGCTAGGACCAGTTCTGTTTACATTACACATGCCTCCTTTAGGTAACACCACAATAGGCACAACATACCTCCGTCATGCAGATGACACCCTCCTCCATGTATCCAACACACACCAGTCAACCTGCAGGAATGCCTCCAGAAACCAAAGACCTGGATGACCTCAGAAACATTTTGCTCCTACATTTAGATAAGACTGAGTTTACTGTCCTAAAAATCCTTACACATATATGGTATCTAACCAGATACTTAGTCTGGATCTTTAACCAGGATCTGTCCTTCAATGCACAATTAACAATTGTAAAACTGCTTTCCTCCCATTTTGCACAGCTCTATCTCTAAAATTAGAAATATCCTGTCTCACATGAGCTGAAACATAGTTCATGCATTTAGTTACTTCCAGGCTGGACGACTGTAATTCATTTATTATCAGGATGTCCTAAAAACTCCCTGAAAAGCCTTCAGCATGAATACTGACAGGGACTAGATGACACAGTATATCTCTGTCATCCGGTCGGGGGCAGGGATAGCTCAGTGGGTAGTGTGGACGCCCCCACTGAACGGCTACCCTGAGGCACTCCTGAGGGTCCCTGCACACTGCTCCCCGGGCACCTGATTTTTCTGCTGCCCACTGTTACACTGAGTTACATGCAGAGAGAGTAATTTCCCCACGGAGATCAATAAAGCATACGTTATTAGCATGACAGCCTTTGTTCTTACGGTAAAGGAGCCATTGAAAAGCTAAAGCAGCTGTAATAGACTAATCATACACATTTACACAGACATGCATGAATTTCAGTTTACAATCATACAAAGTTCCCTAATTGGACCTTGTTACATATTTGGGTGGTTGACTCTGAGGCAGACAGTTTACCCTGTAGATTGAACTAAGACCTTACAAACGTAAGAAGCACAATGACAACATTCAACAATTACACTTAACAACCCCATTTCCCTTAATTTGAAATAATACATGTAACTGAAATCCTTCTGGTTTGCACCGTAATATCAGCACAGACAGGAGCTCTGAGTCAGCAACACTTTAAATGAGACAGTGAGAGTGAGGAGGTCCCACAGATGTTTGAGGATGCAGCTGATGGCAACATCAATGAACTTCCAATATATTGGAAAATGCATGGACGATATCATCACTAAAACCACCGTCTGCAAATATCCAAAGCAGAAACCCTGGTAGATGAGGACATTCCTGCTAAGCTCAAAGTGCGGACCTCTGCCTTTAACTCAGGGCGTTCTGATGCATATGAAGCAGCCAGGTACGACCTCTGAAAAGGGGCCACAAAGGACTACAGGGACAAAGTGGAGTCCAGCTACCACAGCTTTGACGCCAGGTGCCTGATGAATGGACTACGCTGCATCACTGACTACGAGAAGGAAAACACGGCAGTGTCCAGCCCACAGCGTCTCTCGCAGACGAGCTCAACAACTTCTACGCTCGTTTTGTTGCAGACAACGAGGAGCCGCTGCTCTGTCCTCAGGAGCACAGTGAGGCTGTAACTTCTGAAAACAGAAGCTGTGAGATGGTCTTTCAAAAAGGTCAATCTTCACAAAGCTCTGGGACCGGACGGCATCTCAGGCCGGGTTCTCAGAGCGTGCGCCGACCAGCTGGCAGGGGTGTTCACCAACATCTTCAACCACTCCCTGAGGCAGTCAGGGGTCCCCACATCCCTCAAAACAACCACCATCATCCCCGTTCCTAAGAAATCAGAGGTCTCCTGTCTGAAATGCTACTGCCCTGTTGCACTGACATCCGTCATCATCAAGTGCCTTGAGTGGCTGGTCAAAGGTCACCTCTGCTCCTCCCTCCATGTTACATATCTGCAAAGTTTGGCATGAACGGCAACATCCCTCCAAATTTCTACAATCTAAGACCGAGAGCTTGCTGACGAGCTGCATCACAGTTTGGAACAGAAGCTGCTCTGCAGCAGCAGGAAGCCACAGAGCATCACTGGCACGAGGCTTCCTGCCACTCAGGATGTTTATCCCCAGCAGTGTCTCAAAGCACACAGCATCATCAAGGACCACAGCCACCCAGCACATCAGCTGTTCTCCTTGTTACCATCTGGCAGACGTTACTAAACCTCCAATAATATTCTAATGTAAGAGTGTTAATAATGAATATGTCTTTATGATCTCCTGTTAATGCTCACATGTGGCCTAATTCCTGTTATTTGTTCTTTTAGGATTATGAGTGAACTTTATTGTCATTGTTGTCATAAACATATAAATACAGAGTAATGAAATGCAGTAAGACGAGGGCTGGAGCTCTGGGCTTTAATCTTAGGAGTTTGTTGGGAGGGTCACTGATGCAGCTGCTTCATGTGGTCCACTGCAGATATGATGGATAGTTAGGTGATAGTTGTTCCCCTCCTACGCCTGCCGACCCTTAGTCGTCGTCCTCCGCCTGACTCCTCCACTCCACCTTTGTGCAGGCCCCATCGCTGACCCCGGCCTGCGTACTGCCGGTGTTGCTCCTCCACAGGCTCTGGCCTGCTGATCTGTGTTGTACCCTTCAGTTGGTGAGCTCCTTCATCTGTGAGCAGTTATCTGTTTTCCTTCATGTCAGGAGAGTCGTTATTGCCAGTGTGTGCAAACATCAGTTAAGTAACTGTTTTCTCTTCCTGTGAGCTCCACCTCTTCTTACTCTCTCTTTCTTTAACTTCCTTTTCCTCTTGCTTACATGTTTCCTCTTCCACAAACGGTCTAATCACACTCTCCAGTGTGTGTGTGACTTCCTGCATCTCTTACTTTCTCATTCTCAGTTCATTCCTTAAACATATAAAGTGCAATTTGCTTCTTTTGTTGAGCAGTAAAAATCCCTCTGATGTTGTGGGACTCTCAAAAACTTAATTCCTGGTTCAAGCCTGACACTCTGTCAGTGTTTCATGCTCCTCTGATGCTCTTTGAAATGTTGTTTCTATTTTAGCCATAGAAGAAGGATTGCACGCAGTCTGACCAGCATCAAGGCAAGTGTTTCAGTTACCACTGATCTCTTTATGATCGTCTCCCACACAACACAACTGTGCTCTTTCTGTCCCTCCTAAGACCCTCCCTCTCTCTCTCTTTCATGGCATGTCTAATCTCTCTTTGCTGTTTGGGCTGATTGGGACCTGATGAGTGTAGAAACAAAGAATCACCTGATTTCTTTTTTAAACCTGATTTTTGTTTCTGAGAAAAATGAGATCCACATATGAGGACATTTGTTTTAAAGGCTGATCGAACAGTGACAGTTTAATGTCTATAATGGTCCAGACAACCTAAGATGTGATGTCACATATGTGGAGGTTAATCAGCTATTCTAGTGATTCAAATAACTTGATCAGTTCTGCATCACACAGCTGTTATTCCTGTTTTTCTTTTCCCAGACAGATATTTCTGTTCTTTGAATTTAAATGGTTCTTTTCCTCTAAAATGCTCAAGTGTAGCTACTTTGCCTTCATTCCTACTTGTTTGGGAAGAGCTGTGATCCAGCTGTTTGAGTGTATTTTAATTTCTTATATTATATTTGGAGATGTGTTGTTTCCATTGCCCTGATCACCTCCTGTGTGTATTTAGTGTGTGTTTCATTCACTCTTTGTCAGGTCGTCTGTGTATTTCCCCTCCATGTCATGTCACAGTGCTCATAATCACCATAGTTTTTCATAGTTACCTCATTCTTGGGGCTCTTCAGGTTGTTTTGTTGCTTTAACTAATTTATTATTAACACCCATATAAGATTATGCTTAAAATGAACGACTAATGTAAAAAATTGTGTTTTTTCTTTATATATGTTTGTTATGTAAATGTGCTTTTATTTCTTCACTCCACATAAAATGTAAAAAATAGTTGTTTATTGTCTGTTTACAATTCAAATTAAAACTATTTACATTTTTTTTGCTTTGGGGTCTGGGCTGGTTCAGGTGGATGTGGTGGTGTACTGCATGCTGCTGTAGATGCAGCAGCAGCAACAGTTGCAGACACACTGGCACCTTCATTAATATCACACTCAACTGACTGTGTTTCATCTTCCCATTGCACTGATGGCTGGGCAGCTGTCAGGAGCCTGTGCAGGTTGTGGGGCGGCTCCATGTGATATCCTCTACACTCTGGCTTTGTGTTGTCAACAACATTAAAATGCTTCCAGATTTGGCTTTTCTTGGTGTCACTTAATGACCCAGGTGATTAAAAACATGTTCAAGAGGCTGCGTGAAAGTTACAGTGCACATGCTCAGTGCAGGTAGATGTAGAGTGTATATAGTTACATAGACATACATGTCATCCTGTGTCCTGTTTGCCTCCAGATGTGGAGCTTCGTGTTTCTCTGTGTGTGTTTGTTTCTCCAGATGTGGAGCTTCATGTTTCTCTCTGTGTGTTTGTGTCTCCAGAGGTGGAGGCGTCTGCTCGCTCTGATCCAGGTGTTGGACCCTCTGTGTTCTGTGGAGTGGGTCTGACTCTAGGTCTGGTCGGTGTGGCTGTTGGAACCTTCCTCCTCATCAAAGGAAACGAGTGCAGCTGATTGGCTCACGGTGACGATGTCATTCTATGACGAGCTCCTAATCAGTGTGAGTGTGCTGTAGGCGAGTGTGCAGAGTTCGCCTGTAATGAGCATCAGATCCTTTGTTCTGGTTTACCTGCCTCAGCTGACGTGCTTAATAATGGAACATCTGTATGAGCTGTGCCGTCAGCCGCTGGTGTCAATAAAGTTTAACTCTGGAATTCAAAGCAAAGCTATTTTCAGCTGCTCTCGCACCACCAGCAGATTTTACCTGGACTCTGTTCCTGCCACAAAAGTGATGAGACTGAGATCAGTTTGATGTGACCTCAGTGTTCATAAACAGCTATGATGTGTCTTTGTTTACCAAACCGCGTTTCAGATTTTCATATATCAATAAAGTTTAATGACGGATTGTGTGTGTGTGGAGTCAGACTTTGAGCTCTAACAGAATGAACATTAATGATGTCTGAATTTGTCTTTGCAAACACAACGATGTCAAACTAAATCCTGATGAAGACTCTGCTGATGAAAGCAGGTGAAAGAAAAATCAATGAGTGTTTATAGAAATGAATCTAACATGTTTATATTCCAGATGTTTTAATATCTGCCATTTAAATTTACTCTGAATATGGATAAAATCTCATTCTGATTTAATTCAGTTTAATTTCTACAGCACAAAATCACAACAACAGTCAGCTGAAGCAGCTTCATATTGTGATGCAAATACTCTTCCATGACGCAACATTAATACGAGCTGAGGTTCATCTGCTGCAGTCTGACTGGTTTATAAATGTGAATCTGAATTTCTCTGCTTGAATATTTAAATGCAGATTGAAGGTAATGTTAATGTTACAGAGAAATGTGATCCAGCTGCTCTGAAGAGCTCGCCATGATGACATCACACTGTGGCGTCCACGCAGGAACATCAGCCACACACCCACAGAGCTGACTGTAACTCTGATCACTGTTACAGGTTCATTGTTACAGCAGGTCTGACTTCAGTGTTGGGTGCAGATAACTATTATACATGAATATGTCTCCATGACTGCAGACTGCGACTGAAACGTAAATGAAAGCAGGTTTTCAGTTTGCTCCGCTTTCAGAGCTTTAACGGACAGAAACACACGTGGGGGTGAACTATGAGCTGATCCCACAGTAACAGATGACGCTGTGGTCATGTGACCTGACTTCCTGTTTCTCGAGCAGCTCTCCGTCAGACTGAGTCAGTTTGTCTGGAGAACTTAGAAACATGGCTTCATCCTTCCTCTGCCTCCTCTTCATCAGCCTCAGCACAGCAGGTACCATCAACACGCTGACCAGTGATCACTAATACACTGATCGGTGACATGATTCGCCCTCGGTCTGATGTTCTGTTTGTTCTCAGATGGATTCATGACTTACAGACTGTCTCGCTGTGACTTTAACTCCACTGAGCTGAAGGACATCCGGTTCACCGACTCTTACTATTACAACATGATAGAGATCATCAGGTTTGACAGCAATGTGGGGACGTTTGTTGGATTCACTGACTTTGGAGTGAAGACCGCAGAGGCCTGGAACAATATTCCTGCGAGGCTGGCTACCATGAGGGCTCAGAAGGGGACGTACTGCAAACCAAACATTGATGTCAGATACCACAACCTTATGTCTAAATCAGGTGAGCGTGCGTGGTCTGTGTGACATCATCAGGTGTTCCTGCTGACCTCACTCTGAATCATTTATGATGGACTCACAGCTGCAGCTAATTTTGATGATTAATAACTTTAATAAATCATCGATCACCGAACATAAGACGCCAGAGACCGACTCTAACCTGCGGCGCCCCCTGCTGGTGACACAGGCAAACTGCAGCTGTTCCTCATAACACACTCATTATACTATTTTTTTAAACTCTTTGAGCTGAAAAATCATCCACAATTGTTTTTTAATATTTCCATATACATATTTTAACAGCACGGAGCAGCCTGACAGGTTAATTATTTCCTTCTTTTCTTCTAGTTCATTTATTTTAAATATGACAAATATGAAACACTGATGTCTGCAGTTCATTTATTGGCTGTGACCTATGACTCAGTGTAACAGTGGAGTTATTCAATATGAGGCAACACTTATAAAGTTATCATCAGAACACACACATATAAATGTGACTGCTGTTATTTAATCTGTGTGTGTTTCACTCTCTACAGCATCTCTGCAGTAAAGTGAGCTAAAGTGCTGAAACAGCTGCTGTGCTGACCTGACTGATCAGTGAAACGTAAACACACACAAGCTGTGACTGTGTAACATCAGAAACAGAGAGTGCAGGGGAAGCTGTCTGATAGTGCCAAGTCATCCTGTGTGTTCTGCTGTTGGGTTATAGATGGTTCGATCTACGAGTGCACCTAAACACAGCATGAATGTTGAACCACACGAGCAGGCTGTTTACAGCAGTAACTTCCTCTCCAGAGTGAGACGGTGCAACCTCAGAGAAAGAAACGTGTGAGAAGTTTCCTCCATCAGGCCGCAGCTCTTATCTGTGTGACTGGTTACAAATATGATAAAATAAACAGGCAAAGCGCCCCCTGCAGGCCCCGGATGGTACAGTCTGATCAAAGTGCCTTCCATCGGGGCCTCGATCACAAGCTCCTCCACCGTTGTTTGCAGCCCACAGATTTACACCATCAGCTCTTCCAGTTCAGGTCCTGTCGCCTAGCAACCACCACCTAGAATGATAATGTAAAACGTTCATTAATCAGAAGCTCAGAGTTTTGACTTTAATTTTGTTAAAATTTTAAATCGAAACATATTGTAAATCAAATAAACGTATCTATCAAATATATATAACTTTGACTACAACAAGCAGCAGCAGCTTTCATTCTGTGCTGTCACCACAGCAGATTTCCGAGAGACATAATCTCTCCAGTGTGTCGTGGGCAGTGTTGGGTGTAATGCGTTACTGTAATTAAATTACTTTTCCACTGAAAAAGTAGAGTAACTAATTACTGTTCATTTTAGGTATTTTAATTACAGTTACTTACATTGTAAAATAAGTAACCTCCTCCTGACCTCCTGCCTGGTTGGGCAAACTCCCTCAATGCACTCGATGCACCCTTGGGTATCCTTAAGAGGATGAAGAGCTGGTCCAGTGTTCCATGTATAACGGACGGACTGTCCTTTCCAGCACCCTGGCATAGACCTTCCCAGGGAGGCTGAGTAGTGTGAGCCCCCTATAGTTGTAAGACATCCTCCGGTCCCCCTTCCTAAAGATGGGAACCAATCCAGAGGTACCACCCCAAACACAACCAAAACATCCCTAAAACATCCAGAGTCTTCAGGAACTCAGGCTGAACCCAGAGGCTCTGCCACCAACGAGTAGTTTAACTGCCTCAGTGACTTGACTCGCTGGACATTGGTGGGTCTTCCCCCTCGTCGCCAGGCTCTGCTTCCTCCACGAAAGACGTGTCAGTGGGATTATGGAGGTCCTCGAAGTATTCCTTCCACTGCCTGACAATGTCCTCAGTCGAAGTCGGCAGCGCTCCACCCGCACTATTAATATGCACTGTGCCTTTTAAATAAATGCATTCAAATTATACAGAGAACGTTAATGATAATACAAACTAATAATGTCTTGCAGCTCCGCCCACTGTCAAACTTCACTCCACCACGCCTCTCTCCAGTCACCATCCTGCCATGTTGGTCTGCAGTGTCTATGACTTCTTTCCCAGTAAGATCAAAGTGAGCTGGCACAGAGACGGACAGGAAGTCACCTCTGATGTCACTTCCACTGAGGAGATGGAGGATGGGGATTGGTACTACCAGACCCACTGCTACCTGGAGTACACACCCAGGTGAGCATCATGATAATAATAGAGCTAAAGTTTAAACATTTAAAGTCCAGATCTGAGAGTCACTAAAGTTTATGTTGAAGGTCTGGAGAGAAGATCTCCTGTGTGGTGGAGCACGCCAGCCTGGAGA